ATGTCCTTGGGCCCTGCACCCGCATGGGAGACCAGGAGAAGCACCTGGCTCCTGGCTTCAGATCAGCGCAGCGCGCCGGCCGCAGCCGCCATTGGGGGGTGAACCAATGGAAAAAGGAAAACCTGTCTCTCTCTCACTGTCCACTCTGCCTGTCAGGAAAAAAAAAAAAAGCAGCAGTTAAGTAGGAATGTGGGGTCTCAGACTTGGGATCTGTATCTTCTCTTTCTCCTCCTGGTCCTCTCTGTCTCCATGTGTCCTTCTGCCCTGTGCCCTGGACACAGATCCATCAATGGGCTCCCAGGCCCTCTAGCTTCTGTTGGGTTCAGCCAAGAAGAGCCACTGGCCTGAGACCGGGAGGTGGCGTTTGCTTTCTGGCTTCCTCCAAGCCGGTTTTTCATCCCTCTCCTAAAGACCATGTTCTTGTCTGCTGGTGTTCTGCTGCAGCAACTTCCTTCAGATTCTGATCTCTCCTCCCCCAGCCCCTTCAGGCCTGGGGATGGTAACAGGATCCCCATTGTTCTAGTTCCATCATTTGCTGGTTTCCCTTAGCTCCACCCACACTATTGAACTAGTTCCTTTATGAAACTCTTCCCAATTACCCCATCTGAGAGTGCCATCTGCTTCCTGCTGGACCCTGACCAATATAATAATCTAATAAACGATGTGAAGTTGAAATTGTAACAGGAGGTGAATATGAGTGCAAAGTCATCACCAAGACTTGGTTGGATGCATATGACATGAGCTCTGTTTTGGTAGGAATTCCCTTCATCCACATAAATTGACCTCATTGCAATGGGCCAAGGAGTGGAACTCAGTCCATTCATTTATTTAAAGAAATATTTGTTGAGTATGACATGCGCTGCATCTGGGACTGGGGAATCAGTTGTAGGGACAACAAACATCCAGGCTTCATGGCGTTTGCCAACTAGCGCACAAGAAAGATGTTAAGCACACAGCCGCAAATATGAATAGACTCAGAAAGTCTAAGTTTTTGCTGTGATAACCACATGTTTCGCTGAGAACTGCAATGAGAGGCTAACACATGAAGGAAGAGCATCAGAGAATGTTCCTTTGAGGAAGCCACACTTGAGCTCAGCCAGGCAGAGGGCAAGGGAGGGGAGGGAAGGGCATTCCAAGGCTATGCAGGAGAGGTCTCTGCAAGATGAGCTTTGGTTTTAAGCGAAAGGGGGAGGCACTGCTGAGTTTTGAGCAGGGGAACAGCATGACTTCATGTCATGAAGAGGGGTAGTGGTTACCAGGGGAGCCCTGGCGGGGATGCAAGGAGGAACACGTGATGTTACTAAGGCCTTGGATGGGCTCACGGTGCTGTGCAGCCGCTGTGGTTCGAGTCTGATTTGTGCTTCTCCCTGAACCCATGCAAGAATTTAATCCCCAAAGTCGTATGTGAATGGTATTAAGAAGGTAGAAAAAGTGGTGTTTACGGATAGGAACCTTGGAAAATGATAAGGTCATTAAGATAGAGCCCTCCTGATTGAGTCTTGGCTGCTTTGTAAAAACAGGGACAGAGACCAGACCCACAGATGTAGACTTACAGGCTCCCTTTGTGTTGCCATGTGATGCTCTGCACTGCCTTGAGACTGCCAGAAAGCAAGCCACTACCAGACGAAGCCCCGATGCCTTACACCTCCAGAATTATGAGCTGAAATGCACATTTTTAAGGATTTATTTATTTCTTGGAAAGGCAGAGTTACAGAGAGAGAGAGATCTATCCATTGGTCCACTCCCCAAATGGCCACAATGGCTGGAACTGGGCTGATCCAAAGCCAGGACCCAGGAGCTTCCTCTGGGTCTCCCTCATGGGTGCAAGGGCTCAAGTATTTCCTCTGTTTTCCGAGGTGCACTAGCAGGGAGCTGAATTGGAAGTGGAGCAGTGGGACTCAAGTTGGCTTCCATATGGGATGCTGACGCCACAGGTAAAGCCAGCACCAGCCCCAACATGTTTTCTTTATGAAATACGCTGTCTCAGGTATTTTGTTATAATGATGAAAAACTAATACAGCTTCTTTTCCTGTCCAAGAAATGCTAAATCTAGCTTTGAGGACAGATGCCAATTGGACTCATATGTACAGCCACTGAGTATCCAAATCTGTCATTAGCAATGTGTTGCATTCTTGTCCTGCTATGTATTTTCAGAAAGATAAGAAAGCAATGAGGGGAGCTGTTACTTGGGATCCAATTCTCACCAACAATGAAGAAATTGCTGGCAAAATGCAAATGTCTAGAAAGAAAGCAAATGTTCTTTGGAAAAAGAGGTGTGTGTGTGTGTGTGTGTGTGTGTATTTGGAGAGAGAGAGAGAGAGAGAATGCTAGAAAGCAAAGTTACAAATACCAGAAAGAAGGTAGTTAGGGGTTACTAACTTCTTGTTGGAGATTAAAAAAAAAGTGACCTAACAGGTACAGGAAACACTATGCGCCTACTGGGGTTGCCACACAAAGTAACACAAACAACAGAGACTTACCGTTCTGGAGGCTGGAAGTCCAAGGTCAAAGTGTCAGGACGGTTGGCTCCTTCTGCAGGCTTAGGGGCAGGATCTGTTGAAAGCCTCTCTCCTTGGCTTATGTATATAGCTATCTTCTCTATATTGCTTTGCCTTATCTTTCCTCTATGCATGTTTGGTGCCCACATTTCCCCCTTTTTATGAGAACACCAGTCATATTGGATTAGGGCCCACCCTAAATGACTCCACTTGAACTTGATTCCTTCTGTAAAGACCCTATCTCCAAATAAGGTCACATTCTGAGTGAGTTCCTTGGAGTAAGAACTCCAACAGAACTGTTTTTAGGGGACAGAGTTTAGCTCATAACAACAAGCCCATGAAATCCAAGTAGAATGTAAATGCTGACTATGCAGCAGGCACACTGCTAAATGTGGTTTTGGCTCCAAAGAAACACTTGGTCAAACGGTGGAATACTGACATGCAGTAACATGTAATAGAGGTTCACAAGTGCTCCAATATATTTACCTCTTTGATACGCTAATAGTTTAATGTAACATTAAATTACATTCAGGATATACAAAAGCACAGCAGTGGTGCAGAGAAAGGGTGACCAGCCCTGCTTGAGGGGTCAAGGAAAGCTTCTGGGAGGACATGAGCCAAGTCTGCAAGAAGGACAAAGGGGTGGCCTAGATGAACAAGTGGGATGAGGTTCCCTATGGATGGAAGTTCATGGAGTGAGTGAATGTGTCAGGTTCATGTGGGTTAAGGTAGAACTTCAAAGTCATTGAAGGCAGGTGAGGTTAGAGAAAGGTCTTGTGTCTAAGACTTAATCCGGAAAACCTTGTCAGGTGTGTGTGTGTGTAGAACTTCCACATGATTTATAAACGGGGGTGATATCAGATTTGTCTTCTATGTGGAGGATGGACCCAGTGGGTTGGGAAGGGGGTCAGGTAGACTAGTGAGTAGACAGAGGCAGAGAGAAGAGAAAGAGGACAGAGGCTGGACAGAAACCATGACAAAGCATAAGTGGTCAAATTGAATTCTGTTAGTGGGACCAGTGCTGTGGCACAGTGGGTTAAAGCCAGTTCCAGTCCTGGCTGTTCTACTTCCCATCCAGTTCCTTGCTAATGTTCCTAGGAAAGCAGCGGAGGATGGCCCAAGTGCTTGGGCCCCTGCACCCACGTGGGAAATCCAGTAGAAGCTCCTGGCTCCCGGCTTCAGCCTGGCCCAGCCTGGTCATTGTGGCCATCTGGGGAGTGAACCAGAGGATGGAAGATCTGGATGGAAGATCTCTCGCTGCTTCTCTCCCTCTCTGTAACTTTGCCTTTCAAATAAATAAATAAATAATCTTTAAAAAAAGAAATCTGTTAGTGACAACTTAGTTGTGAGAGGGACACAGAATAAGAGAATGTAGAATATAGAACTTGGATGAGGTTAGCTCATCCTTGGATGAGGATCATGAGAGTGGAATTATCGTAAAGCTCAGGGTCAAAGCCTTGAGGAAGTGCATGTCCCATGTATGAGAGGGATATGGGGCCTCTGAAGGAGAGAGAAAGACCAACAAGATTATTCTAAGGAAGAGCCATGGACTGTATTATCCTTGAAGTCATGGAGGACAGAGAGAACAGGCAGGTGCCCCTGAGAGAATAGGTAAGCAGAGTGATGAAAAGGATGCTGTGGCTTTGGCTGTAGATGGACACTGCTTACTTCCGTAAGGTCAATTTTGGTGGGATGAGGGCAACAAAGGCTAGATTGAGAGGATAGGGTGTGGAGGTGAATGGTGTGGATAGCTCTCTTAGGAAGCTTGTCACTGACCTTAGCTAAAGAGGGACAAAGGTGTTGCGTGCCACTTTTTATGGGAAATGATTAGTGGTGTTTCTATAATCAATGAACAAAGTAAAAAGAGAGAGAGGTCCTAGAGATGGGAGGAAAAGGAATCTGTGGAGATGGAACATGATGGGCTTGACAGCAAAGATTGATGTGTTCCACCTTGTAGGAAAGGCATGGGCAGCTGATGGTGGCAGTGGCCCCGGAGGCCTTTGATGGACTGGCAGGAAGTTGAGAAATTCCTAAATAATGTTGTCTATTTTTCCCTGTAAAGAAGAAGATGTGAATTCCTATCTTTAGAGTGAGATAAGAGGTGGTTGGGTAGCAGGTGAACATTGATGGAAGAAGAAAAACCTGGAAAGAGGGTGTATTAGCCAGAGTCCACTTGCAGATAGCCAGATCCATCAAAGCTACTCTACACAGCAAGAGATTTAATACAGAGATCCATGTTTTCATAAGACCATTAGAAGGGCTGGAAGGCTGAACTCTACACTGAGACTCCAGGAATGGATCTGGAGCAACTCATCCCCAACCTGCCAGAGAAGTCACCATCGCCAGCAGTCGAGGCTGGAAGTCACTGCTGTACCTGTCAAAGGCTTAGCTGTGATACAGAGAGCTGGAGGCCGTGACTGCAACTTGTGAATATAAAACCAAGCTTCCGAATTCAAATTTTATCTAATGTTTCTCACAGGCAGAACCCAAGTGGAAGCCTGACCTCTAGCTGCAAAGGAGTCTGGGAAGTTTTTGCTTGATTCGAATCTCTGCAAAGGAATGTGTGTCTTCATTCCCTTACTTAAATTCTGATAAAATAACAGGAGCATTAGCAGCATCCTCCTATCCCTTGATATAAGCAACCCTTCTACATCCATCCATATACCCTCCTATCCAGTTATCCACAGGAAACGTCAGAGTCTGGGTCTGGAACAGCAGCCAAGGTTGAGACCACAGTCTGACTGCCCTTGCATTGTCAGCCGTCGTTCTTCAGATCCAGGATACACCTGCCTGAGTCATACAGGTAAGTTCACGAGAATGTGAAGGGCATCACACATGGTTTGCTGGCAAAGTGCCTGTCCGAAAAGGGAGAGAAAGTCCTAATTTACACTGTTTGCCAATTCCATGGTATGACTGTTACCAGCATGTCCAGTTTTAAACTACCAAAGTGATGTGGCTGAGCAGAGGTAGTGTTCAAACTCTCATAATTACAATTCTCATGATTGAGTGATGGCAGTGTAACAATTCTTAGGAGCATGTAGGAACTGTTTCCTGCACACCAGAGTCACTAACCTTCCTGCTTTTCCAGTTTCCCACTGTGGCACTAACCCCTGTGATTCTCCTAGAACTGTGGCATTGACTTTGACTTATTACTGTGAGGAAGAGCTTCACCAGGAGTTTTCTTTGGGTTTTTCCTATATTTCTGGTGCTTCATCCATGGGAATCCAATATGGGGATTCTGCCTATTGCTGAGAATGTATATTCAAGGCCTGGGAAAAATAACCTCAGGATAGATATAAATGTCTTTGGCCTGCTATGCAGTGGTGTGGGCACAGATTTCTTGATTCCCATCAATTCCTACTGAACCCATGACCAGGGATTCACATTAGCTCAGAACCAGCAATAAGCCCTGCAAAGTCTGGTATTTCTCTTTTCTCAGTACACAGTCACTCCATTTAATGACCACAACTCCCTTGGGGAAAAGTTGGGAGGAAGATTTATAATATAAACTTGCAATGTCATATGCCACAGAGGACACAGTTTTTCTACTCACCTGACTTAGGTCTGAGATTAGTGAAAGCTTATGACCCTCTGATGTCCCCAGACAATGTGTTAGATCTCTAGATCTCTAGGACATTTTGATTTCAACAGATCATGCAGGGCCTGAATGCAACACCCTGTATGGTTTAGTCCTTGGTATTCACCACCAAAGATCCCTGTGGGTCAGTCTATTCTGACTGTCATTCTGGTCCTGTTGATTTCAATAACTCATTTACTTGTGGTCATTAAGTGATATCCCACAGTGCATGTTGGGTTCTCACTATTGCTGATAAAACCAAGGAATGAATTCCAATATCTTCCACCATCTCCCCCTGCATGTAGTCCATGGTGCAACTATAATAGTGTGTTTGAAGGGGGTTGATGTTCCCATTGTTCTCATCCTCAGAGGATTTTTTCTATGTCTTGGTGAGGGTAGAGTCCTCTGCTGTCTCTCAAGGGATATGGTTAAAACAATGACAATAAGCCAATGACATATGATCAAACCACTTCAATGTACCTAGCTCCTTAAGTCCTTGGGTTTCCCTTACATTGTACCAGGAATATTTTGAATCTCAATTGCATTTGACTATTACTGAGTGCAGGCTCCAGTTTACCAACTGAATTAACAATACAACTTTTATTAAATGCTTGAGAGCCGGCTCCAGAATCTCTGGTAAACACACCCACAATGATAAATTCAGCCAGACTTCAAGCTGTGGGCATGGCATTTGGCACAGTAAGTAAGTCATTGCTTGGGATGATTGATTTGAGTCCTGGCTCTGCTTCTGATCCAGCTTCCTGTGAATATCCACCAAGAAGGTAGCAGATGTTGGCTCAAAAACTTGGGTCCCAGCCACTCATAAAGGAGAAATGGATTGAGTTCTAGGCATCTGGATTTGGCCTGGCCAAGCCCTGGCTATTATGAGTGTCTGAGGAGTAAACTAGCAGATGGAAGACTTCTCATCAAGTTCTGTCTCCCTGTGCCTTTAAAATACATTAAATTATAACATAAAATTGTGTAGTCCTCTCCCTACTCCAACATGGTTAAAGCATCTTCCTCCCACTCATTTCCCCTTCCCTCTTCCTATATATTCTCTAGATTTTCATTGCTATGTAAATTTGCACATTTTGGCATGTGAGCATCTCCTGGACACAATTTTATAATTGGCTCCTTGGGAAAATGCAGATTGCCTTTGGCCACAGATCTGGAGGACACATGAGGTGATGGAGTCAAGAATAGCCATGGGAGGTCTCTCAGGCAAGGCAGGGTCAGCCCAGTCAGTGAGGGTGGGAGGGGCTGGTTCTACTCGTGAGAGAAGTTGATGGGATGAGGGACCATTGTCTTTGGATGAGTTCCCCTGAATAACACTGTGCTAATTTTTGGGGTGATGGTCTTTCCTAATCACTGCCCTAACTTTCACATTAGAAACCGGATGAGGCCATGTATTTAGTCTATGTTGTAAATCAGCAACCTACAGGATAAGGTATCTGATTTTGGCTACATTCGCTCACTTGCTCTACAAGATAAGGCCTTGTTTTAGGGTGATTGTAAGATGTCCTTTTAGGATAATTATAGGAAGTCCCACTCTGATTTTCTGAGTGTGTTTTGAGCCACGAATGTACAGCTCTGTGCTTATTGTTATATTACTTCAAACTCTCAGAAGAACCAGACCACGTCATTGTCTTCACAATTCTCTTATTTATTTATTTATTTTTGATAGGCAGAGTTAAACAGTGAGAGACAGAGAGAGACAGAGAGAAAGGTCTTCCTTTTTCCATTGGTTCACCTTCTCCTGGTCTCCCAAGGGGTGCAGGGCCCAAGCACCTGGGCCATCCTCCACTGTACTCCCAGGCTACAGCAGAGAGCTGGACTGGAAGAGGAGCAACTGGGGTAGGATCCGGCGCCCTGACCAAGACTAGAACTTGGTGTGCCGGCGCCGCAGGCGGAGGATTAGCCTAGTGAGACATGGCGTTGGCTGTCTTCACAATTCTTAAGGCTGTTGAGCTCTGGTTCTGCAAAAGACATTCCTCTAAGAAACCACTTGATTCCATGTGACCATGGATGATGGATCAGGACAGAAACTGCTCTAGAAAGAGAGAATGAGAACAACTCTGAGATGCAGTTTGGTGGTCAAGGGGACAAGAGAGTTGGGAGAGGGCTTACTTCGTGAAGACATTTAACTAGAGATGTCTGCAGGCTAAGAAGGCAGGCTGATGGGATGGAAGATGGAAGACCATGGCAGGTAAGGGCAGGGGCAAGTTTTCAGAGGGGGCCTCGCTTCAAATAGGAAGAGTTGGAGGATGGAGTGTACCGATGGGTGGTCTGGGGTGGGCAGGAAATACCATGGAGCCAAAGTGTTCAGATGGAGTGGGTGGGTGAGGCCTGGAGCCTGAGGACTCAGAGACAGGGCAGTGTGCAAGGACAGGCAGGCCCAGGTCCGGCCTCACCTCCGGCTGGTAGAAGCACAGTGTACATGAAGCATCAGTTTGTGCTAAGGAGGCCGGAGACCTGAACGCTGATATGTCCTCAGCGTGGGTGTGGACATCTGTGAAGAAGAGAGCAGGCCAACTGGAAGAGGGACCCTGAATGAGGCAGGTGTGTCCGGTCTGCAGGAAGGTTGGGTGGGAGGCGACGCTGTGAGCAGAAGGGTGACACATGAATGAGGAGTGGGTGGGTGGTGATATCAGTGGGAGATCTGGTTTTATAAGGGTCCTGGAAGTAGCATAAGAAGCCAATCGGACCCTGATTCTTCTGACCTTCTGCGCTAGGATGAAGGGTGACCCCCATTGGTGAGCTTTGTGGGCAAGTAACCTCACCAAGGGATCAAACAAGAACACTTAGCACACTGCCGAGCACGTGGTCAGCACCCAGTAAGTGTTAGCTCTGATGGTCATTAAAGTAAGGGGTCAGTGGAAGGGAGGGAAGGTGGGCTGGTGTGAGGGCAGGTCTGACAGGGGTGCAAAACACCGATCATGGTGTTTTCCATCACAAGGTTGAGTTCTCTCTCTCTCTCTCTCTCTCAATATAATTCACAAATCACACTTCCATCACCATTTAACTTGTACAATGCGAGGTCTTGAGTATATTCACATAATTGTGCAACCATCACTACAATCAACTATAGAACATTGTTACCGCTAAAACAACCACCAAACCCGCAAACGCCAAATGTCCTGTGTCTTTCAGTCATATTCCTGGCCCTAGGAAGCTGCTACTCTGCTTTCTGTATCTATTTATTTGCCTGTTTCGGACACTTCAAAAAATGGAATAGAAAATACAATAAGCAAATTTTTAAATTCTTTTTATTTTTACTGGAATAATTCTTAAACACAAAGGAATGAAACACTAATGGTGGACTCTGGGGCACTAGCAACTCTGTGTGTGCATGTGTGGGGGGTGAGGGGAAAGATTTGAAGACTCAGACTCTACTTCATCCGTGCATAATACTTGCCTGTGCGTTTTTCCTCTCACAATGTGCTTGGAAGAGAAAATGTCAAAAGCCAACCAACTACAGAATCCAGGAGAAGGCCAGTGAGTCACGGCAGTGGCTGAGGTCTTGCTGAGCAGTGCACAAAGGGGAGACCGGGGAATCGCTGCCCGTGGGGCTCCCCTTGGAGGGGAGACCGGCTGACTGTGTGCAGGCACAGGCGGAGGAGACCGAACAGTGCTGATCTGGTAGCCGTGGAGAGAAAGGAAACCACACTGGAGTCCACAGCAGATTGTGATTAAAGGAAAAAACAGAGGACCATGCAGAGGACTGCACAGAGAGGTCTTCCGGAGACTTCACCTGTCCTCCACGGGGACACAGTGACCTGTGCAGGGAGGGGCCTGCTCTCAGCAGTGTTTCTCCGAGTGTGGGCGCTCAGAGCGGCTCCTGGGATGATGTTAGTTGGTTCGTGCATGCCAGACCCTATGCAACATTAAATCACTGAGAACAGTCCCTCCCCTTTCCAATTCTCCTTCAAGCCTTTGAAGTCACGGGAAAAAAAAATCAACTCGGTGCCTGTGTGTTTCTGACACCTCATGAATGCTCCTAATTTCCCTTTTAGATGAGTGGGTCTTAGAGTCAGGGTCCACCTAGCACGTAAGCTCCCTAGGGTTTCATAACGGGGTTCTGTTTACCATGGATGTGCTTTATTCTCAAAGTCGGTCTTCCATTTCTGGCAGTGATATAATACTTCCACCTTAAGCTCTTTAGATCTTTTTTTTTTTTTCGCCACAGCACCACATCGGTCCTCTTTAGATCTTAACAAGCCAGTTAGCATAATGAAAGATACCTGTTCGGGGCTGGTGCTGTGGTGCAGTAGGTTAATCCTCTGCCTGGGCACCAGCATCCCATACGGGCGCTGGTTCTAGTCTGCTGCTCCTCTTCTGATTCACCTCCCATCTATGGCCTGAGAAAGCAGTAGAAGATGGCCTGAGCGCTTGGGCCCCAACACCAAGTGGGAAGCTGGGAAGAAGCACCTGGCTGCTGGCTTTGGATTTGCACAGCTTCAGCCATTACGGCCATTTGGGGAGACCTTTCTCTCTGTCTCTCCCTCCCACTGTATGTAACTCTACCTCTCAAATAAATAAATAAATAAAATCTTAAAAAAAAAAAGCGAAAGGAAAAAAGAAAGATACCTGTCCAAGAATGGGTGGTCATGGAGGTAGGACCAGGATGGAGATGGTGGGACACGAAACGACCAAAGCAACAACGGAGCTCGAAGAATTACAGCTCTCACAGACGTGGGGCCTCAGAGCGTGAGAATGGCCAGTAGGGGCAGCCTGACCGTCAGCCATGGACACCACGCGCAGGTCCTGAACTCCCCCTCCGCTCCCCAGTCGCAGTCTCACCCCCGCCTCACTGGCTTGGGCAGTTTGTCTGCGTCTCTCACCAGACGTTTTCATCAGGTCCCCAGCGCCCAGCAGGGTGCCTGGCACTCAGAAGTCCTGGGCACTTATTCACAGAGAACGCAAAGGGAGAAAACACGAATGCACGAACCAGTGTCTCCCAGGTTGGTGCCCTAATCCCCAGAGTAGTCAGCGTGCACATCCGCTCATTCATTCATTGCCATACTTACCAAGCAGCTACTGTGTACAAGACGCCCTGCCCTTAACTTCCTTATAATGGCTTTATTTTTAGTCAATAATCAATCTCCGTATTGTGCACAGCAGTAGTCAAGATCCCGTCAGGGGTGGGGAGAATGTGATCTCTCTCTTCTACTTTAGAGCAGCGATGTTGGACTGGGCCGACCTGAGACTGAATCCCGCCTCTGACACTCAATATCTGGGGCACCTTGGACCATTTACCTTTCTGAGTAAGAGTTTCCCCATGTGTCAAGTGGTTTTAATCACATTTCACTTGCAGCGAGGTCCTGAGTCACCTCCGTGAATGCTGCTGAATGAATGAGGAAGCGTGAGTGAGCGAGTGAGTGAATGGGTGAAGGATTGCTGCCCAGCTCAGGTAGGGCAGAGCCTGGCTGCTCTCTCCTGGCCGGGGACCTGCCTGCTGGCTGAAATTTCAGGCAAGGTGAAGAAAAATTGGAAATCACAAGCTGTGTTTAAACAGGGGGAAATGGTGCAAACTGACGGGGCAAAACAAAACAAGAGATCCAGGGACCCTGAGGTTTGCAGCTCGGCCAGCACCAGGGGTCCTTGGGCAGAGGACCCAAGGAGCAGACCCGCCTGCTCCCCACACTGCTGAATGTCCCACTGCTCCTGTCTCTCCCCTGCCCCGCAGGGATGTGGGCAGTGTGCTGTTGGCATGGTGATCAGTCAGCCTGTCTCCCCCTCCTCTGCATGCCGAAGTGACAAAGAGGCCCTGGGGAGTAGAATGGGGCCCTGCCAGCTCCGCTGGCTCAAGAAGGGCTGGGAGAGCCCGGTCCAGGAGCTGAGGGGCCTGGCGCTGAACCACAGCGCAGGGAACAATGGAGCCGTTGCCCTGGCAACCAAGCGAGGCCTCTCCCTGGGCCTCAAGGCTCAGCCTGGAAGGAGGTGTCCTGAGAAAGGGAGGGGGACGAGGGGGCTGTGCTGTTCTCAGGGAGGGTGTCGGGGACCCTCTCCAGAGACCATCACAGAGTCTCCGTGGGCGCATTCTCTCTGGAGCCATCGGGCGGCGATGGGGCAATTGGCCCTTCAGTGCAGTACCTAAGCACCTGCCCCGGCTAAGCTCCCCTCACCCAGGTCTCCTGAGGGAGGCTTAGTGGCAGGAGTGTGAAATCAGGACACAAGGGCTGAGGACCCAGGAGCTCTGTTGTTGGACTGTGCTGGGAGCTCTGGGAAGTGGGCGGATGCTGCAGGTACAGGTCGGGGGTGCAGGGCTAGCCGTGGTCAGCCTGGGGCTGTACTCTCAGAGGCTGGGAGCAGACCCTTGACTGATAGGCCTGGGGGCTGGGATGGATGGTGAAGGCATCAGCCTCTGGAGCCACATAGTCCTTGGCCTCAGCTCTTGCATGTGATTGGCTGCATGGCCTTGGGGAAGTCATTTCACTCCTGAGTCTGGCGTTCATGACAATTCCAGCCACTGCTTGTCTGTGTTGAGTGAAGGAAGCACTTCTATAAAAAACAGTGGGGCTGTAGAGTGGCCAGTGTGTACCAGCTCCCTGCCTCGGCTTCCCACTCCTCTTGTTCCTCTGTCCAGGCAACTGTGGCTGTCACGCCGGAGATGTCTCCCAGGTTCTACATGATCTAAGATACCTCAGCAACACCCCCATACAACCCCAAGCTTTCTCAAAGGCTCCCCTGAGGGGCACAGCCTGGGAGAGTCTAGGGCGGGACACAAGGATGCACTCTGATCATGATGACGGTGGCTGTCTGAGAAGGGCTGGTTACCAGTGTCTTTGTCTATCTGGATTTTCCCAGCTTCCCCTTTGAACTTGGGGTTGCTTTTGCCATAAGAAAATGTTGAGAGAAGCTGATGCACCCCTTGAAAAAGGCCTGTTCAGAGGCTTAGGGGGCAGCTGCTTCAGCACCAAGGGTTTCCCAGATCTTGTGCCTCTTGCACCTGTTAAAGTAGAGGCAGGTATTGCCTCAGCTGGGAGCCACCAGAGCTCTGCACCTCCATACCTTGTTCCCCTTCCCAGCACCGTAATCCGAGAGTCTGCGTGGGCATTGAGGGGAGAAAGGCGGGAGACAGGATCACAGCCAAACTCCTGTCCTTCCAGAATAAATGGCTCCCTCTTGTGGCTGCGAGGCCTCATGGCAGGACTTTCCAATCCCTGTGCCCTTGACTGCTGCTCAGAGCAAACAGGCTGGCTGGGTACCCGGGACCAGGCACTGGTCTGATTTGGCCTTCAGGTGTTCAGAGGGAAGGTCATTCCTGGCCTGGCCCCTTCAGTCTGGAGAGGCAAGGCTCTCTCCTGCTTCTTCCCAAGCAAGAACCTTGCTGAGGTTGAGATGCAATCATCCGAGCAGGTGCACCCCACACTGCTGACCTGAGAAGGGGGTTGAAGAGAGCGGCTGGTCCAAGACCACACCCATAGAGTTACTATCAGAGCAAAGAAGGAGTTCAGAAGTCGTTTTGGAGAATCTGTTAGGTCACAGCCCCGGGTTCATAGTGGAGGGTGTGGACAGAAACTGAGAAAACCGTATCGGTCTCTCTCCAGTACTTTATATCTAGTTCATATGCTCCTTCCAAATACAAATTCTTAACCTGGGTCGATGGACCCCATGACATTATATGCAAAATAGGAGCTTATGAGCATTTTTCTGGAGATGGGGTAGGTGCTTTCATCAGATTCTCAAAGGATTAAAAAAAAAAAAGTGGGGCAGGTACTGTAACACAGCAGGTTAAATCACTGCTTGGGATGCCCATGTTCCATGCTGCAATGCCAGTTCGCGCCCTGGCTGCATTGTTTTTGATCCAGCTTCCTGTTGATACACAGCCTGGGAGGCAGCAGATGACGGATCAAGTTCTGGGGCCACTGCCACTATAGGAGAGACCTGATGGAGTTCCTGGCTCCAGGCTTTGGGCTGGCCCAGCCCTATTGCTGCAGACATATGAGGAGTGAACCAGCGGATGAAGGGTCTGTCTCTTTCTTTGTGTCTCCCTTCCCTCTGTCACTCTGTTTTTCAAATAAATAAATAAATAAAACCTTAAAAAATAAGAACCACAATGGAAAAAAATGAGATCGGGGCCTGCATTGTACGGCAGGTTAAGCTACTGCTTGGGATGCTTGGATCCTATGTTTGAATGCCAGTCTGAGTCCCCGCTGCTTCTCATCCAGCTCCCTACTTATGGGTCTGGGAAGTCAGTAGAAGAGGATCCAAGTACTTGGGCCCCTGCCACCCACGTGGGAGACCTGGATGGAATTCTAGGCTCCTGTCAGCTTGGACCAGCCCTGACTGGGCAGACATTTAGAGAGTGAATGGATTTGGGGAGCATATAGAAAATCTCGCTCTCTCTCTCTGTGTGTGTGTGTGTGTGTGTCCGATTCTGTGTTTCAAATAAAGAAAGAATGGCTCATGGGCCCCTTCAAGATAGGCGCCTTGGGAGGGGCAGTGGGGCTCATAGACATGGTCTTGGTTTCCAACTACTGCTCTCTTGGGTTATTCTCAGGGACAGCTTTAAAACTGTGAAAGAACGTCCGGCTCTTCTCTTCTTAACCACATTTCATGTTTGTCCCCGGAGTGACCCAGCTTGATCACTCACCTTAGTCACCAGCATTGGATCCAAATGACTGTTAGCTGTTTCCAAAAATTCCATCCACTTTAACAAGGCAAAGATTTGTCACTCTCCAGAGTATTCAAATGAATGTGACGACATGACTGCAGGAGTTCCTGATGCTGCCTTCAGAACTCAGACTGGAAGAAGGGTATAAAACACTTTCATTTGTTTATTTATTGAAAGGCAGACTTATAGATGGGGGGGAGACAAAGACAAAGGAGGAGGAGGAGGAGGAGGGAGGGAGGGAGGAAGGGAGGGAGGGACAGAGGGAGGGAGGGACAGAGATGCTTCCATTTTCTGGTTCACTCCCCAAATAGCCACAACAGCTGCAGCTGCTCCAGGCCAAAGCCAGGAGCCGGAAACTCCCTTAGCATCTCCCACATAGGTGGCAGGGATCCAAGTACTTGGGCCATTTTCTGTTGCTTTCCCAGGCATATTAGCAGGGAGCTGGACCAGAAGTGGAGCAGCTAGGACTTGATCCAGTGCGCATATGGAATGCTGTTGTTGCAGGTGCCAGCTTAACCCACTGCACTATATTGCCAGTTCCTGGGTGACCACTTCATAAGGCTTGGTAGGTCAATTAGAAGTCAGCCAGGTACCTTTATAACAATGAGTTATAAACATCACAGATGAACAAACAACACCTTGGAGATTAGATAAATGATCAGAAGAGGCCACAGTGGCCAGGAATACAGCTTTCAAGACACTTATTGGGGACAGCGCTATGGCGTAATGGGTAAAGCCGCCACGTGCAGTGCCAGCATCCCATATGGGCGGCAGATCGGGTCCCAGCTGCTCCACTTCCATTCCAGCTCTCTGCTATGGCCTGGGAAAGCAGTGGAAGATGGCCCAAGTCCTTGGGCCCCTGTACCCACGTGGGAGACCTGGAAGAAGCTCTTGGCTCCTGACTTTGGATTGGAGCAGCTCTGGCCATTGCAG